GTGTGTGTGTGTGTGTGTGTGTCATCAGCTGCTGTCAGCCCGAGCTGTGCCAGACACCCTGCGTTGACGACATGAACTTGCGTGAGCTTGTTATCACTTCGTTCTCACTGAGGAGGCTCCTTTCCAACACAACCCTGTGCTGCTAAAATAATCCTGTGGTGTTTATGAGGCCTGCGTAGTTTTAATGTTCATGTGATTTGAGGTTCGATGTCAATCAGAAAACTGCGCTGGTGCAGATCTGCCTCAGTGTGTTTCTGACCTGCTGATCACATCGTCACAGATCAGTTTCCACACCTGAACGTTCACCTGTGGAGATGCAAACACATGTTAGGGACCTCATAATTACAGACTCAGCTTTTTATTGTCATCCTGCAGCTTCTTGCACAGCGATGTTGGGATAATATCATGTTGTCACTCAGACTGAAGCCTGCGTGAGTCTTCAGCTGTCCTTCTCCTCTCCAGTGGACTCTGATCCAGTCTGGACTCAGCAGACAGACGCCATCTCTGCTTTTAAGACCTTATATGTTAAACGCTTATAGTTGGGCCTGGATCAGGTGACCCTGAAGTGCTCCGGCTGCTGGGGGACTTCCCAGGATTTATTCCTTCTTCACTTCCCTCTTTTCTCTCCTGATGCATTTACCTCTTATTCCTGCATGTCCTTAACTCTCCCTGCACTGACCTGACAGTAGCTGCTGGTAAAAGGTTCACATATTCACAGCTAGCGAGTTGTTGCCCCGTGTGGCAGCTGCTTCACCAACAGGAGGAGGATTGCATCTGGAGTAGAGGCCATCTCCTTCAGATTCAACTGCAACGTGATTCTCGGACTCTGTGAAAACAGCAGGAACCTCAGGAATAACCCAGAAGCTTTCATCGTGTACTTCCTCTGCTGCTGCTGCTTTAACCTGAGCAGCTGTGATGAAATGAGCAGAAACACTTTCTTAAACCTTGTTTTTCCTTCACAGCGAGTAAAAGTGTTTATATTTGATTAACTGGTAAAAGAGAACCTCACTGATTAGTGTCAGAGCTGAACTTCCTCAGAGTCGGAGGCATGAAAGTAACTGAACTGCCCATAAAGAAAAGCACAGTGAGTCTGTGGTAGCAGCTCGCTGCCACTGCTCAGCTTTGGCTCCATTAAACCGTCGCTGAGTTCCTCCTCTGGTTTGATGCAGACGCCTCGACGTTGGCGTTAAATTAATAAACTGTTTTCATCAGGCTGTACTTAAACATTACTGTCCTGAGTAGTTTCTCCTTTTCCTCGAGCAGCTGAACGCTGATGATGACACCTTATGTTATCAAAGCTTCCCAGCAGCTGCTTCGCTGAGCGTCCTGCAGCTCCGACCGTCTCTGTGACTCTCGCTGCTTCAGTCTTACAACACGAGCTGTTTGTGGAGCAGCAGTGCTGCAGCTGTACAGATGCATCGGCACCTGCAGGTTTGGTTTGGTCACCGACACACAAACCTGCTTTATGACCTCATGTTGGACCACATGGTCCAACATGAGGTGGGTGGATCTGCGCTGAGAGCTTTTAAGCTTCTCCCTTCTCTCATGTGCGTTTGCACATCGTGCTGTAAAGAGCAGCAGCTGCTTCTGCTCCCGGGCGTGGCCGTTGTTCCCGTGGGAGTTCACGCTGTAACAACAATTACAGATAAGACAGAAGGAGACGAAACACAGCGACGTAGCAAACATGTGCGGCCGCGTGTTCTCACCCAGATGCACCGGCTGCCCTTCCTCTCTGCTGCGTTGTTATCATGAAACGCGTTCCCTGCCCACTCCCACTTCACCGACTTGTGTGTACGAGGCCTTCCTGCTGCTCATTACCACTGAACATTGTTCATTCCGGCGCTGCCTCACCATGACAAGGCCGAATTCCCGACAAGAGCAGCGACCTCTAACTAAGCATCGAGGTCGCGCCGATCCAACATCGCGCCGGCGGCGGGTGTGCGCTCAGGACTCGAGCCCCCACGGCTCAGGGCTGCTTGTTTGTGCGCTCTTCAGCTTCCTCATACATCTTTCTGTAACGAGGCAAAGCTGTAATAAGAGCTGCTGATCCACAGGTTGGCTGCAATTATTAACGCCACTGGGAAAAATTATTATACGAAAGCTGGAAAAATGATGTCGCAGCAGCCAAAAGACTCGATGCAAGCTCTGAGAAACTAGGAAATAAAGACAGCATGACAAACAACAACAGTTCAGTGAAGCGAACAGAGCAAGCAAAGAGCTTCATGAGTAAAACTGTAACTAAATAAATGGCGGTGCTGTAGCATGAGGCAGGAGAGACTTCCTGTATGTGACGCGCGCTCGGTAAATGAGCACGTTATTGGAGGAGCTGAGAGGCCGCAGACACAAAATGAAATTGTCTTTGTTCCCTCGGCTGGACTGATGCTCTTCACAGACGGAGCTCTGTGTACGACGCAGGATCGGTTACTTGTTCATCGTCCACGTGTGTACGTTCCACAGGCGTGACTGCGTGTAGTGAACCTGGGTGGGATAGTCCTGTCACTCTGACCTGCTGCATCAACCTAAAGCTACGCTGCGTATCTAAGCACAGGTAACCTCCCTGCAGTGTTGAGTAATGCAAAGAGCTCCCGGGCAGCTCCGACAGACACAAACAAACTTGTTGTCGACTCTCCCGACCAGCTCCTCTCCGTCATCTCCTCCCTTCCAGCTGCTTTGGTGAAACAAGTAGGTCAAAAGTGGGAAGCCCTGTCTGTGCTTCAAGCACAACAAAGGGAGCTCAGCAATCTGATCCTGCAGACTATCAGAGAGCCGAGGGGGGAGAGGTGCTCTTGAAAACCTGCCTCTGTTTGTCAGCGATTCCCAGGAAGGGTTTTTCCTCTGCTCGTTACTTCTGCCCGTCTCTGTGCTCTGCAACATCCGTGCAAGTCGGCGCTCTCCCTGCACGTCTCTGGAGGATGAGGAGGATTTCCTCACTGCCAGGCTCTGCTAGCAACGTAAACACGAGGGCTCCGTCATCATGCAGCAGGGAGTCGCCCCTTTAACCTCCGTTAAAGTAGCTCCGGGTTAAACACAGAGTCTAGCAGGGAAAGCCTGTTTGTTTGCTTTTCCTCACCAGGGGAAGACAGTTCAGTTGAACCGCTGCCATTTTCCCCTCGTCTGTGTGTGCAGCTGGTGTTGTTAACAAAGGGTGGGCTCGCTTGCATACACGGGGAGAGCTGCGGAAAAACACACAAGTTAGAGTTTGGGTTTAACTCCCACAGGCGAGCTGTCGGTGTTTACCTCGTGCTCCTTTTTAGCCACGCTGTCATTTCCACTTAGCTTGCAGACAGGTGTGATGCAAACTTTCACGTGTCCACAGGAGAGTTTCAACGAGCTCTTACATCATTTTGTCACTTTAGGACAAAAGAGGAAACATCAGAGGAAGTGCACAGGAACAGGAGAGCGTGAACACTTTCATTAGTTAGGATTTAATTTAGGAAGTTCCTGCAGTCGTAGTACTGTCTGACTCCAGGCTATAAGCACAGCCGTTGCCCTGTGACTGTGCACATGTTCAGTTTCTCCTTTGATGGCAGCATAGATCAGTTTACTCTGTGTGCTAAGAGAGCACGCTCATGCTTCCTTAAATTAATTAGGAAGTAATAATTCATGTATTCAAATGAAATTCCCCCTCGTAGAAAGTTTAATTGCCAGGTGCAACAATTTATTCATGTGTGCAGACACGCTGATGCTAATGAGCTTACGTTGCTGTTGTTGTTGTGTTACTTTGTGAGGAGCGAGTGGAAGAAAACTTCAAGCCTGAGGATAGTTTGTGGCTGTGGAGGAAACTCCTCGTGCATACCTGAGTTTGGTGCCTGCTCGTGCTCTTTGTTCTGACTGTCACATGATTATCGTTGCTACATCTATAATTGCAGTGCTTCCCTGAGTCTGCGTCTGCCCCGCGTGTTACCCAACCTGGGAGGAGATACGCCTGCAGCCCGGCTCCCTCCCATCATGAAGCAATCCTGCAGAGCTGCTGTTAGATCGCACCGCAGGTCTTTGTTGGTGCGCAACCCGACACCCTGCAGATAGCTTTTATGCTTAAGGTGCTACTTTGTGTGTGAGTATTAATAAATATCAGTTTCTTGCTGATGCAGTATCACAAAGCTCAGAAATATTCATATTCGCTCAGATGGCAACCACTGAGGGAAACTGCAGTTCCTCTGGTGGCCTCTAGAGGCGCACTGTAAAGGAGAGTTAGTCCCCACTGAGCCCCGAGGGCCGGTGTCCTGCAGGTTTGAGACATGTCCTCGATCAACACAGCTGATTTAAATGTTAAATGACCTCCTCAACATGTCCTGTAGTTCTTCAGAGGACTGGGAACGAACAAATCATCTGATTCAGGCGTGCTGACCCAGGGTGAGCTCTAAAACCTGCAGGACACCAGCCCTCGAGGCCTGGAGTTCCCCACCCCTGCTTTAAGGGTCATGGCGGCTTTTCTTGACAGGCGTCCCGACGTGGGTACCTGGAGCTGATCTGGAGCCTTTGACGTTGCTGAAATCTTTGGCTTGCTGTGTGGACAATCCCATCTGACGGGACATTCCCGTAAGAACCAATCACATGCCAAGGACTCAGGCAACTGAGAGCTAGAATCAAGTTAGAGAAATACATTTTTCACTTTTCTCCAAGCTTTCTTCTTCTTCTTCTTCTTCTTCTTGTCTCCGTATCAAACGGAGTTTAACCATCCAGCTGCCTCCACGTTGATTGTTGGTGATGTCGGGATCAAATCTGCCGTCTGTGGGGAATCCCAGGTTTGTGTGATGCACCATGAAGCAAGTTTATCGTAGGAGGCAAAACCATTTTAACCCGAGTGAATGCAGATGTGCCTCTGCTCGTGTCTCCTGGCAGGAAATCGCAGCAGGTCGTCTCGTTGCGTGGACTTTATTCTCTCTCTCGCCACTTTGTGTTTTTGTAAATGTAGCATTTAAAAGTTTGTGCTTCAGGTTTCCTGAGAGAAACGTGAACATTTTATTCATGTATGACGTAGAAATGAGTTGATGTGCGTCTGTGTTGGATCTGCACAGTTCTTGGGTGAAGCTTCTCGC